ACTTGCTCGGGGGCATGTGAGCACAGCCCCCTTGGCAGCGCCAGCACCTGGGACTTGGCAATAGGGTGAAAGCACATTCTGTTCCCGGTCCTGGGAGCGTGTGGCCGGGGTCAGCAGACACGCACCACGCCTACGAATCCCTTCAGAAAACCCTCGCTTCACCTCCGCTAAAAGGCAAATGAGCTCTTCCTGACTCAGAAACGGTGTGTTCTGTCAGGTCAGATGGTCCTGATCCCACCCCTCACTTCCCTGCCCCATTCTAGGCCCTGGGGGTGCCCTTGGGAGCAAAGCCGCCTCCTCCTTCCCCCTGTGGAGTTTGCATTGCAGCCAAGCACCTCCACTTCAGGTAGCAGGTCGGACTCAGCCAGGGAGCTTTTAAAAACGAAGACAGTGGCTCACGCCTGTAATCCCAGCACTTTGTGAGGCTGAGGCAGGTGGATCATCTGAGGTCAGGAGTTCAAGACCAGCCTGGCCGACATGGTGAAACCCCATCTCTATTCAAAATACAAAAATTAGCCAGCTGTGGTGGTTCACGCCTGTAATACCAACTGCTTGGGAGGCTGAGGCAGGAGAAGCGCTTGAACCTGGGAACTGGAGGTGGCAGTGAGTGAGCCAAGATTGCACCATTGCACTCCAGCCTGGGCGACAGGGTAAGACTCCGTCTCAAAAAAAATAGAAAAAGCTGCCAAGGCTGGCTGGGCAGCTCACGCCCATAATCCCAGCACGTTGAGAAGGCTGAGGCAGGAGAATAGCTTGAGCCCAAAAGTTCGAGACCAGCCCGGGCAACATCTTGAGACCCTGTCTCTACAAAAATAAAAATAAACAAAAGCAAAACAATAAAATGAAGATGCCAAGCCTCATCCAAAAGATTCCAATGTCAAGGCTCTACGGTGTGGCCTGGACGGCAGCATTTCTACAGCTTCCTGCGTGGCTCCTGTGTGTGGTGCGCTGAGACTTCCGGCACCTGTAGTCCCTGGGAAGCTTGATGGAAATGCTGGATCTCAGCATCCCCCCCCAGTTTGCTGAATCAGAATGTACAGTTCACCAAGAAGCTCAGGTCATTCTGCCGCACGCCGAGGTTCCGGAAGCCCGAGGCTGGTCGTGTATTGTTCTTAGCCCAAGCTGGTCTCCCCGGCCTGAATCTTAGCTAGTTTGACCTTCTCAAGCCGTAGCACTGGCTCTCAGAATTCTTGACTGTGACCTGCAGAAAGAAATGGACTTTAAGATGGAGAGCACTCCTGTGTGGATACGATGACGACACCAAAACGCCGCAGAAGCAACGCCTTTACTACCTGTGCCGCACTCTCATTCATGGGACAGGTGTCTGTGCCACCTGCTTTGTGCCCAGCGTTGTTCTAGCTGCCTGTGTCTAGAACAAAACCCCTGCTGTGGTGGAGTGTATATTCTGGCAGGAGGGCAAGGGGGTCAGAAAGTTAAAAATAAACCATGTATATAAAGGGCATGCTAAAAGATGTATAATAAAACCTCTTTAAAAATTATATTTTGAGGGCCAGGCGTGGTGGCTCAAGCCTGTAATCCCAGCACTTTGGGAGGACGAGGCGGGTGGATCACGAGGTTAAGAGATCGAGACCATCCTGGTCAACACGGTGAAACCCCGTCTCTACTAAAAATACAAAAAATTAGCTGGGCATGGTGGCGCGTGCCTGTAATCCCAGCTACTCGGGAGGCTGAGGCAGGAGAATTGCCTGAACCCAGGAGGCGGAGGTTGCGATGAGCCAAGATCGCGCCATTGCACTCCAGCCTGGGTAACAAGAGCGAAACTCCGTCCCAAAAAAAAAAAAAAAAAAATTATATTTCGAGGGTGGGGTTCTGGGGTGCTGGTTATTTTCTGTTTCTTGATCTGGGTGCTGGGTATATTAACTGCAAGAATGCAAGGGTTTTGCGCTTCTCTGGAGGTACGCTGCACTTCAATAAAAAGTTCAAAAATTACATTCTGACATTTCCTTCTTTCCCTCCCTCCCTTCCTCCCTCCTTCCTTCCCTTTTTTCAGAGTCTTGCTCTGTCACCCAGGCTGGGGTGCAATGGCATGATCTCAGCTCCCTGCAACCTCCACCTCCTGGGTTCAAGCGATCCTCCTGCCTCAGCCTCCCGAGTAGCTGGGGTTACAGGCGCATGCCACCACACCCGGCTAATTTTTGTATTTTTAGTAGAGACAGGGTTTCATCATGTTGGCCAGGCTGCTCTCGAACTCCTGATCTTAGGTGATCCACCTGACTCAGCCCCCCTAAGTGCTGGGATCACAGCCATGAGGCACTGCTCCCAGCCAAACATTCTCACATTTTTTATTCTATTATTGTCCTCTTTCATTAAAAAAGAAATCATTCAGATCCACTGTATTCAGTTTACCTCCCACTAAAAAGTTGCAATAGTAGTTTTCTTTTTTTTTTTTTTGAGACGGAGTTTCACTCTTGTTACCCAGGCTGGAGTGCAATGGCCCGATCTCGGCTCACCTCAACCTCCACCTCCTGGGTTCAGGCAATTCTCCTGCCTCAGCCTCCTGAGTAGCTGGGATTACAGGCACGCACCACCATGCCCAGCTAATTTTTTGTAGTTTTAGTAGAGACGGGGTTTCACCATGTTGACCAGGATGGTCTCGATCTCTTGACCTCGTGATCCACCCGCCTCGTCCTCCCAAAGTGCTGGGATTACAGGCTTGAGCCACTGCGCCCGGCCTTGTATTTTTTTTTCTTAATATTTTTTGGCCACAATACCAGCTAGACAGGAGCAGTGGCCAGAAGAAGCCAGGAGTTTAAAACCAGCCTGGCCAACATGGTGAAACCCCATCTCTAGCAAAAATACAAAAATTAGCTGGGCACGGCAGCAGGTGCCTGTAATCCAAGCAATTCGGGAGGCGGAGGCAGGAGAATTGCTTGAACCTGGGAGGCAGAGGTTGTAGTGAGCCGAGATCGTGCCAATGCACTGCAGCCTGGGCAACAGAGTGAAACTCTGTCTCAAAAAAACAAATGCGTAAATAATCATCATAGCTGAAAAAACGAACTAGGAGGAAAACACCTTCACCCCAATCCCTCAGCCGCACCTAGTACTCATGGCTTAGCGGCGGCCGCAGGTGTGAGCCGGGCTGCGGGCTCCCCAGCAGTGGCCTTCCTAGCCCTCTTGCTTACCCCACAGTGCAACTGGCTCACGGCAGAGATTCTTCAGGGCAAAGCCTCCCCCTGGCAGCCTGGCCCACCTCCGCTCCCAGCGAGACCCGACAAGCCCTTCTCCTTGCCGGGCCACTCTGCTGTGGGCAGTGCTCCTCCAGTTCCAGAGGCAGGACGAGCTGGCTCAGGCACGTTAGTGAGAGGGCTGGGGTTATCCCTGTGGCCTCCTCCCAATCTCCTGAGACTTCTGTGTTTCGTCTGGGGCTCATTCCTCACGTCAGCTCCCTGGTGGCAGAGCTGTCTCCCTTGGTGTCTCTCTGGCCACAATGATCAGTGTCACAGACACATCCCAGCATAGCCCCAGCACTCCACCCCATGGCGGGGACGGTCCAGGATGGGTGAGGAACAGCGTGGGATGGGGGAAGGAAGCAGGAGACCTCGCTCTTTCCTTTGAGCCTAAAGCTCCAGATGACCCTACACTAGAGGTGCATATGGGGGACAGCTCTGGTTGTCTGAGGGAAACTAGGAAGATGGGGGCTGGGGAAATGGGGGGCTGGGCTGCTCTAGGAGCAGGACCAACCAAGGTAGAGGTGCTTTGCCCCCTAGCTTTGTTTGACCTGGAGCTTGATTTACTGGTGGGGAAGCGTGCTCTAAATCAGTTGTTTGCATCTATTGACCAGTGAAATCTGGTTAGTCCTGATGCTTTCTGAAGCAGGACTCCTGGATTTGGCATTGCTTTATTGTGCCTCAGAATTTTTTATTTTATTTTATTTTACTTTAGACGGAGTCTTGCTCAGCCGCTCAGGCTGGAGTGCAGTGGTGTGATCTCGGCTCACTGAAACCACCGTCTTTGGGGTTCAAGTGATTCTCCCATCTCAGCCTCCCGAGTAGCTGGGGTCACAGACATCCGCCATCAGGCCCTGCTAATTTTTGTATTTCAGTAGAGATGGGGGTTTCACCATGTTGGCCAGGCTGGTCTTGAACTCCTGACCTCAGGTGATCCACCCACTTTGGCCTCCCAAAGTGCTGGGATAACAGGGGTGAACCACTGCACCCAGCGTGGGATGTTTTATTTTTGAGACAAGGTCTGGCTCTATCGCCCAGGCTGGAGTGCAGTGGCGCAGTCTCTACTCATTGCAACCTCCGCCTCCTGGGCTCAAGCAATCCTCCTGCCTCAGCCTCCTGAGTAGCTGGGATTACAGGCACGTGCCACCATGCCCCACTAATTTTTGTGTTTTCTGTAGAGACAGGTTTCGCCATGCTGCCCAGGCTGGCCTTGAACTCGTGAGCTCAAGCGATTTGCCCGCCTCAGCCTCCCAAAGTGCTGGCATTACAGGCGTGAGCCACTGCACCTGGCCTGTGCTTTTGACTTTAGAGTCGGAAAACTGGATTTGAATCTTGGCTTCACTACTACCAGCTGTGTGGCGCTGAACAAGTCACGTATACCACGGAGAACCTCAGTTCTGTCACGTGAGAAGGGATGGTGCGTGTCTCCTCGGCCGTTGTGGGGTTGGATGAGGAGAGGTGCTAAGTGCAGGGCCTTGCGCCGTCCGACTCCGTGAGCCTCCGCAACTGGCATGGCAGGGGCAGTGTCGGGGCCTGGGAGAACACTTCAGGTTCCTTCTCCCGAATCTGCAGTCTTCCCCACTTTGTGTCCTGAAGCCAGGCAACAGCGGGGTGGTCCTGGCCGAGGCCTCACGGCTCCCTGGGGAAGGGCGGCCATTACTTGCAGAGTTAGATGATTCAGTAGAAAACTGCCCTGCCCACCTCACAGGCAAGGCGCCGCCACCCAGATCCACCCAGACTGGGCCCCACGTAGGTATCCAGAAGCCTCCCCCTTCCCACTGCCCCACTGCCCCCCGGGGCTCATTCTGGACAATGCAAGGGCAGAAGAGCCAGCCCTACGCCGTTCCTCGAGGTCTGACCTTCCCTTCTGCCGAGAGTTGTTTTACTCTCACGCCCCCTTGCTACATGAGGGACAGTGACAAGGGCAGAGTGGCCCTGACCTCTTGGGTTCCAAGTGCTGGCCGCACACCGCTGCCGCTGTGGGCTGGGCCTGCGCCTGGGGCTGTTTCTGCCCAAGTCCTCACCGGGAATCATCAGGCCTGAGACGAACCCTCCCTCCGTCGGGAGCCCTCCGCCGGCCCCGGGCAAGAGAGGTGACGCTCTGGGTTTCTGGGCCTTTGGGTTGCCACGGAGAGATTAGTCTAGAACCCTGCCCTCACTGGAGTGACCCCAGAAGCCCTCCAATCCAGCCACCTCGCTTCGCAGCGAAGCGCCTGAGACCAGGTGGCAGTGGCTTTACCTCCCACGGGGACCGGCGGCTGCTCAGAACCGGGCGCTCTGGTCCGGCGCCCCTCCGCTGCGCCCCGGACTCGGTGGGACTTCTCAACTCC